GTGGAGTCCATGGAGCTGCAGAGACTTTGGGAGAAACCTCAGCGTGACGGATGTCCTGTCTGTTGGTTTGGCTGGAGAGGACTGAGGTGGAGCGGTCTTTCTCTGGGAGGAGGACCAGGCCTGATGAAGAAACCACCAAACTACATCTGTGAGCCCATACTGGGCACAGCTGTCACAAACAAAGGATGGTCCTGTTTGACTACACACTATTCAGTGTGGAGATCTTTGTGTTCACAATAAAAGTGTAGTTTCTTAGTGAATGTCTTGTATTGGTCTTTAATCTCATATTAGCTTTTCATTTTCTTCTTGCCCCTCGGAGAAAACGGTGAGGCAGTTGTGTCCTTCAGGTATGTCCTTTCCTAACAGAAATGACAAGAAACATAAAACATATGACATTATTACAGAGTAAGTGTGTTATTTATGAAAGAGGTGCGTTAGAGGGCTGTAGAAATAAATACAAAATTATTTGAATGTGTTTTTTAAATTCATCACTTTGTACTACAAAGATATTCAGATTATGAATGAACAGTCTGCAGTTAATCAACATTAAAATATATGTTATTAAAATAATATTCAACTGTTATCAGAACTTAGTGTAAATGTGGAATCATGCTGTTCGGTTGTCTCACTGCAAGAACCACTTTTACCAAGTTTTTACAGACAATATGTAGAGAAAAATGGTAGTAATTTTAAAAGTAAAATAATAATTGCCTTAAATACATTGACATGTGAAAGCTGACAAAAAAAGCATGTTGCTTGGTCAAATCTAAATGTAACTTTTTGCAAGGAAGGAACAGTCAACTTCCCTGATGTGTCAGTATTTAGTCATGTTTAATGGAATGTATATCAGTGTATTATAGTTGTTACTTTATCTATTTAAACCAGAACGTTTCTCGATTCTTTGTACAGTATGAAAGGGGTCTTTGTACCTTTTGAGTCCATGATGAAGTTCACTGATGTTAGGAATCTCGGTCTGTCTCTCGTGGTCAGCATCCTCTGGTCTGTCTGCATCACCTGGAAACTTTAACCAAACAGATATATATATATATGTAAAGTAACAATGTGTTGGTCACATACTTTTTTACATGCAAACGTCATGTACTAATCTTTTTGATTATCCTTAAAAAAAGTGCTGGATATCACAGCAACTGTATCTTATCAGTTGGATTGTGTATTATTGTATAGTTGGGGTCCTTTTTATTTTACTGTTACTTTGGAATAGTTTTTCACGAGACAGTCAAATTAAATGTATGTCCTATGCCATATTCACATTCATTTGTAACACACACGTAAGGGTAAAAGACAAACATTAACAAATGTAATGCAATGAATAAGCTTAATTGTCACAGAAGCACACATAACGTCATATCTAATATTTAAACAAATCATTCCCTTGTCCCTAAAGCATTGACTACCCAATTTTTCGTCGTTAAATGCAGGCATTAAGTTACATGTTCACGTTCTGCTGCCACAATCAGTCGGTTTCTCCAGTGTAATGATAATAAAATGCATAGTAAGTATTGGTTATAATATTAATAAAAACAACAAGGTTTGGGTTTGTTCGTTTATTATGATGGTAACGTTAACCAGTAAGCTTCAATAATCAACTCCAGCTCAACAAACCATATTGCAATAACGTTATTTCTGGAACCATCTGGAAATGTGAGATTCATATTTTTAAGATACACAGATCTTATAGTGAGGATAATCGAATTATCCAGTACGCTGGTCTTCAACACTACTATGACGTTAGCTGTCTGCGTCGTTGAGCATAGCGAATTTAAATCAACAATATCAATGCATACAGTTACCTAACTAGCAAACTAACTAATGTACGAGGATGACCTTATTATACCAACCTCACACAGAAGCCTTTTGTTCTACAGTATAATCCTTCTTAATGTTTTACACTTCTCTAATATGTTTAACTTGTATGCTACGGATAGCATCGTTAGCACAGATGTAGCTTAGCTGAATAAAAACACCAGTGAGAAATAAAGTGCTTGAATTTCACTTACCAAAGAAACTGCATTCAGGGACGGTCTGTTTTAACTGCAGAGCCATAAGATAAGTCCGATATTTAAATGAAGAATACTCCACCAGGCACCAACACAACAAACACGTCCGAGTTCAAGTTGTGTTCCCCGCATCTGAGCCCCTGTAGCATCCTGGAGCTTACTGAGCTAACGGAGCTACTAGCAGAGAGACATAAAGCTAGAAGCAGCACTCACGGCAGAGACCTGTGACTCAAGGTGACCACGCCCTAATTTATGCAAAAACGTTAAGACCTAATATAAATAAAAGGGTCGCGTTATATAACAATTCACTCACCAATTCAAAATTATGAAGGTGGAATCTAACTATATCCTGAATAATTTTTATTGCATCCAGGGGTAGAAACATGTTTATTTCTGCTGTAAAGTTGGGCATTTTAACATGGGGGTCTATGGAAATTGCTCCTTTCTGCAGTCATCGCCTATCGGCCAATAGATGAACTGCAGTTTGAGGCACTTCCTTATTGGCCTCCCGGCTCTGCCGCAGAGTTTGCCGCTTGGCCGGACTCTGTGCCTAAAATTCGTAGTGTCCAAACGGCGGTACTACAATTTCTGTATCAGTCCGTGACGTCACCCGGCCCTGAAAGACGTTTTCCCATTGACTAACATGGGGAAAGAGACGTCTGTAAATCAGCGGATAATGTTTTTTAAACTAAATAAACTACCCAGTATGAACTATTTTATAGCCCTTATTAGAATCAGTAAGTCCTTAAAGATGTAAAATGCACTAAAAGCCGACTCTAGATTTATTTTCTCTCTCCATTCATTCTAGTGAGCCGAGAGTGGGCGCTCGGGGGGCGGGGCTTAAGGGGCGCATGCTCTATGACTGCACATACGGGTTCTTCTGCTCTGACAGCCAGGCATGACGGGTAATCTGTGACGTTTCGCTCTCTCAAAAGTTGGGCCATTTTGACTTCATGCGCCAATGAGCAGCTCTCATAGGAAAGAACGAGACCCCGCCTCCGACGCTGTATCTAGTTCTTATTATACATCCATGCATAGCACACGTTGATCAATCCCAAAAAGATGTTCAGACCATGTGATCGGGAGAAAACTTTGCACTCATTGGCTTATATCAAACTTTATTATTCCAAACTGTGCCATGTGTACTACAATATCATTATGGTTTGTTACTCATTGGCCTTCCTTTTGTATCTTTAATAATTAACTTTGTTCTCAACGATGAACCAACTGAGATCTGGTAGCACAGGGACAATTCTAAAAAATATATATGATTGACATAACAAGTAACATGATAAGACATGTTTTAACCGACTAACAGTTAGGCCAAACTTATTTAACCAGTTGAGCCCCATGAAAAACGCAACATCTTGCAAGAAACAGCGTCTGAGGGCTTCTTAACATTTAACAAACTATAATGTGTCATACCCACTTAACGGGAAGAAACTCAGCTATCAGACAATATTAACAACTTTTAGCTAAACGAAACACAAGGGTAATATCAAGCCTCTGAATTAGCCCTGAGGGAAAAAATGCTAACGCACTTAGCACAGAACTCACGGTATAAATACTTTATTACTTATCGGATCTGCACTGTGCGACCAAAACTCCAAATATGTCTTACCTTTGCTGTTTTTCTGATCAAAAGTTGTGTTCAATGGCATTAAAACGATAAAAACGCTGCTGAAGGTTAATCCAATTTGTCTGTGTCACTTTGAAATGATTACTGATAATCCATCATCATATTTATGGCTATAACCCAGTTTTCAGTTTTCAGAGCGTAACATAGCTTTCGGTTTGGGCAAGCTGCGTGCGCATCACTCTCACTCCTCAATGGTAACGTGTAGGTGGATTCTATTGGCTCTAACGGTTCAAAAGAGGTGTCAATCATCAAAATCGACCAAGGGGGGCCAGAGATATGGCAAATCCACCCAAATGACCCCAGAGGTGTTTTTTTTTTGAAAAGGTCAAATGTCACTTGTTTTGCATCAATCTTGATACAGGGTACTTATATGTTATAGTTTGGATTCCTAAAGCTTTTTGTCTACTATCCCATCATTCAAGTGTGGTTTTCACTATAAGTAATGGTTTCTTTTTGGACCGACACTATAATTTAATTTTTTTTACTATGTTCAATCTGAATTTACTTTAAAATGAAAAACATCTATATTGATTTTGACTTTTCTACATCCAACTCACAGGTTTATCATTGCTTTGAGAAAAAAGATGATTAATTTACCCCTTTTAGAATGGGAATGTCATTTTCGAGCCTGAGACCTGAAAAATTGGCTTGGGGCTTAACTGGTTAAGAGAGCTAATGCAGTTGCACAGTAAAACTACAACCACAGCTGTCCGTCGTAAACATTTATCACGGTTTACTAACCCAAAATGTACACAATCGTCCTGTTTTAGCAACATTTCAGATGAGCTTAGCTGACTAACTGTTTTACATCCAGTAAAGTGGTTTAAATATTTGGGATAAACGTTTGGCATGGTAACAACCTGTCAGTGTATGTATTTCTTACATCAAAGTGCCTTTTTGTGTTATTAATATTGTGTTTTAATATTCTTAATTTTAAAACACCATTTTAACATTTAAAAACAGCTGTCTAAACACCTTTCTCTGCCACCGTCCCTGCTCATATTCATACACGAGTGAATAATGAAAAATACATTCTGTACCTCCACCCTTAAAGCTTTTGGTAGATAAAAGCAATATTTAGAAGTTATGTAATAATGGCTCAATGAAGAAATCTACAATCCTTATCTACTTTTCAGATTGAATTAGTGCAAACAAGCACTAGAATTTAATTATAATATTCTTGATTGCCTTTTTAACACATCAACTTTTAATGTTTTTATTGAACTTTTTTTAAGTCTTTCTCACAGAAAAAAGTAAATATCTTGTCCTTTCGACCAGTTGTTGTTAACAAACTAGTGGACATTTGTCTTTCATTTGAAATGATGAATCTTTCTCTCTTGCAGGAGTGTCGGTGTGTGTGTGTGTGAGGGCTCACTGCCCCCCACGGTGTCGGCATGGTTTCTGCTCGCCAGTTTGTTCCTGGGCACCGGGGCCATGCTGGTGAAGGAGACAGGCATCACGGTGTTCGCCGTGTGCGTGCTCTACGACGCCCTGGTGCTGTGCCGCAGACCCTTCCTCCAGTAAGCAAACAGGCTCATTGCTTTCTGCTTTTGATTACTGTCATAGTTCATTGAGTGGGTACATTTTTAAGAAATGCTTTATGATTATATAACTTTTTTTTATCTTGTAGCATGGCTTCTGCCGAGAATTTGATTTGCAGCCAATGTGTCATACCCACTTAACGGGATTTTTTTTTTTTCTAAATCTCTCTAATAAGGTCAAACTTAACTTCTTTTGCATCAATCTTGATACAGGGTACTTATTATATGTTATAGTTTGGATTCCTAAAGCTTTTAGTCTACTATCCTATCATTCAAGGGTGGTTTTCACTATACGTTTTTGGACGAACACGATAGTTTACATTTCTTTACTATGTTCAATCTGAATTTACTTTAAAATAAAAAAAATGCTATATTGATTCTGACTGTTCTACATCCAACTCACAGGTTTATCATTGTTTTGAGAAAAAAGATTATTAATTTACCCCTTTTAGAAGTGAAGATACAGTATAGTCATTTGTTCTGGGAATGTCATTTTCGAGCCTGAGACCTGAAAAACAGGCCCAGGGCTTAACAGGTTAAAAGAGCTTTGTAACAGTCATTCAATATGGCCTTTCTATTTAAATTCTGTAAATATTTAATACATCTCTTTATGTCATGGAAGTACATTCATGTAGGCTGGTACGGTGTTTTTAGTTTTTTCAATTATTTCAAATCAAATTCTTATAAATACTATGCAGTGTCATATTTGAGAGGCATAAAACAAGACCAGAGTGATGAGCCTTTGCAGCTGATTGCCTCATGTGATTTTCAAGTAACTGAAGTAATTTAACTCTGCAGCGGAAATCAATACAACAAGAGGCACAACTCATATAGATACATTTATTTTAACATAAAGGTTTAACAGATTTACATCAGACACATTTCAAACATATTCTGTCTGTCTCTATCATTAGGTTTGACCTCTCTTTCATACGTCTGTCTTTCTTTTTTTGGGGAGTTGCCATGTTTCAGTGCAGATGTTGCCAATGATCAAACAGCAACTTTTCCGGTATAATTATGCGGCACTCTATTTGGCATCTGAAGAAACCTGCTGAAAGGTCATTATTGAATGATGCCAAAGATATACTACCTACACCAACTTCTAAGGATAATTGCTTTTTCCTAGATTTTCTCTGAAGTGCAAGTTGCTAACATTTTGAGAGATTTTTAGAGAGAGTTTAAAACCCCTTAAAAGCATCAACATCACACCACCTCTCCAGAAGGCTGTTCAATGGGAATCAGCTGGGATAACAGCCTGGATGTTTCAGGCCAAACTCTTTCACGTGAGTTAGGTGAATGCAGAGTCTGACGACTCTTTGTCATTCTTTCTCCTGGCTCCTCAAACATCAGCAGAAGAGCAGAGCAAAGCCTTTGTCAAAGACACATTTAGAAAGGAAGGGAGAGCCGTTAAGATGTGTAATGCCTGTGAGATCTCCACGCTGCTTTGAAGGCTGTGCACAGGGAACATCTCACAGTGATGGGGTGATGAATGGATTCTCCAAGCTTGCCTATCTGTCTGATCCTATCCCTCTCTACTTATTCCCTTGCTGTCCTTTTTCTGCCACCAGAGCTCCTTCTTTAGTTTCTACCTCAGGCTAATGAAATGAACTGTTGTTGAAAAAGACGTTTGTTACCCCCTACATTTTCCGTTATATTTGGAACTGTCTAGTGCCTGGTCATCAACATCAGCGAGTTTGGATGGAGAGAACAGATTGTGAATAATAAGAGATATTTATTCAAATAAATAAAGGAGAAAAGATAACATTGAAACAAAATGTATGAAAGTTATTGTCAGTTAGTACTAGTGGGTTTAGCTGATATTCCCTTATCCAATTCCAATAGTGCTAGCCTTAAACTCTGAGCTTTCTTTGTCTCTCTGCACTCTCAGTTGTCATTGTGGTTGAACCATTGTATAATGTTTTGGTGTCAATCGAGAAATCAAAGTGTTTACACAAAATAACATTAATTTGTAAAGAGAACTTTTAATAAACCTGAATCCATTAAAGACCACCAAATATATAGCCATCTTACTGCTCCTTATCACGCCAACAAACACAAGATTTACTTTTGACATTTAACAATCTACTTTAGTTAAGGGATATAGTTAATGCTATCCACTGTTTATCTCACTCTGCCTTATTTGGAGAAAAAAAAAATGTAAAACCTAAACTGTCCACTAAATGTAAGGCAGGCTCTGATATCTATCATTCATATCATTCATCATACACAGTCAACAGCCACAAAAAAGCAAATTTGTGCAAAATACGCTTGTGACTGGAGGCCTGTGCTGCCCTGATAAAGTCTGACTGACCTGCTGTGTGTATCCTGCAGTCAGCTGTCGGACTCCAGAATCAGGGACCTCCGCTACGTCTGCAGCCCCTTCATCAAACGAGCCTGCCTCATCTCTGGCTTTGTGAGTATTTTTTACACTGAAAAGTACCATAGTGTTGGTTCTAAAGGAAATTACTGTTGGCCATTTTCCAAAACAAAGATTTTAAGATTGAGACACACTGGTATATTGGTATGGTAAATGTATTCCCTTGGTTTCATTTAAAGCTCCCATGTCATGCTTTTCCGGTTATTACCCGTCCCCTTGTGTGTTATGAAGGTTTTTATGCATGTAAACAGTGTGCAGAGTCAAAACCCTCAAAGTACACCCTGTAGCGAGTAAAACTCTAACACAGAAAATACCTCCCCAAAACGCCTCGTTGGAGATACGTCACTGCCCATTTGATTCTTCCGGGTACCGCCTGATGTCATGCGGTACCCGGAACGAAATGGACCAATCCCGAAGAGCTATGGCCACACCAGCAGCGGCGTGTTCCTCCTCCAGAGGTTCGAAGAACCGGCATTTCACAGACGAAAGCTTCCAAAACATTGCCCAGTTTGAGGCCGGATATGCACAGCTTGTTTGGACCGTTTGGAGCAGGGGAAGATCTGGGTATACAACCTGTAAGTTTGCATTGTTATTTGTGTATTTATCAAACAAGACTGTTTAAATGTGTAAACTGTGTTGGACTGCTAAGCCATTGACACAGTGCTAACTGTGCTAACTAAGTTGCTAGAGTTTCCATATATCAACTCTAATATCAGCAGATGGCCTTGCATACATGTATCTCATAGCAGGAGAATGTCTGCATTCACACACAAAATACCTATTGACAGTATACTCCGGGTGATTTGCCGGTCAGTCGCGAAACGTAATTACATTATAGCTGGCGTAGCGATCTAACACACGGAGCTAGAGCTAGTTTTGGTCGGAAAACATTTTTGTGATGCTACGTTGCTAGCGTTTAAATATATCAACTACAATGTCAGCAGATGGCCTTACATGTTTGTCATGGCAGGAGAATGTCTGCAGTCACACACACGGAATACTCATACAGTATACTGTACTGTGATTTACCGTACATTGTGACCGTACATATACTGCATGTAGCTAACGAGGCTAGCTGTATGCTAGCGCAAAACAATGTATTCATGCAAGTTACATTGTATGGTAGCAGAATACCCGTATACGATTGCAATTATAAACACGTTATTGCTAGCCTAATATGAACCACTAGCTTTTGTTCATAGTAGTTTTATTACACTGCATATAGTTGCCTTTCCTCCAAGCTAACGTTCATATCGTGTTAGCTACCAAGGTAAACAAAGCTAGGTTAGCATATTAGCAGGCAAGCTGTTCATTACACAACTACTACTAACGAATCTAAAACAACTAAGTTTCTCTAATATTTTGTGATTTGCATTTGATTTCGTCCAGCCAGATCCTGGCGGACAATCCATGACGGGGAAGGGATTCTACTACTACTGAGGGTGCTAAAAGGCACCGCACCGACTGTGCGCAGGCAAGATGCAAGGAGGAGGAATGAATGATATACCGTGTGTATATATGTATATTTATGTTCATTTTGTACATTTCTAAAATAAAGTTTAATGGAAATACTTAGTAGGCCTATCCTTTCTTCCCTGAATTCATATATAGCAAACCATGATTTGATTTCTCATCAAACAGTAGTAGTGTATAACGGGTAAAAATAACTTACTCTTTGTTATGAGAGTGGCTCGTAGGCCACAACGGAAAGACAAGGAGACATACACGAGTTTACAAAACCACGGCACATTTATTGTGGTAAATGCAGAGATAGGTGGTTGAGAGGATCGCAGAGTTAGTCTTCCTGCAGCCGCTTTGGAGAGAGACTGGGTCCGGAGGTGTCCGTGATCGTGCTGATTAGCCTCTTCAGTTCCACCCCATCGTAAGACAAAGGCCCTGGGGCCGTCACACTCTTCTATAACAACAGTTAAAAATATATATGTATATAAAATATACCGCTGTACCGACGCCATGATAAGACTGATGTTACGCTGAGAGCAGCCGGGGAAAAGCACTGACATGGGCGCAGCCTCTCTGGTGGTTGACTAATCAGAACGAGTGGCCGAGCTGACCAATCGGAGCACACTAGGCTCACAGGGAGGGGGGGGCAAGAGCTCCAACGAGTCGTTTAGTGGAGAAAGTGAATACTGCTGAATACACATGCTTGACAGAGATGCTGTATGCGAAACCAATGTGAGTTTGGAAAATTGCACAGTATAAATCTATTTTAGTATACCTCAACAATGTAATTATGATCAGTGGAAATGGCCATGACATGGGCCCTTTAATTTTTTATTTATATTTTTATAGACAATCATTGACAATAGATTACATTACATATAAGTTAACTGACGCTCTTATCCAAAGCGACTTATCAAAACTTATCAATATTCTCTTTTAGCCTTCTGTATTTTACAATCCAAGCACACATCAATGTATTATATATTTTGTACATAGATACAGTGGCATGATTCACAGCACTTCAAACATGCTATAAAAGAGATTATATATGAACAAGACACAAAAATCCACTTTAGACAAATGAGGTCGTACTGGTGTAACATACATTATCCATCTTTCCCATATTTAAAAAAAGATTCCCTGTTGCAATCTCAAAACAAAAGTTATCCTTTCGATCCATGTCAATCCACTCCACAGTAGGTTTCCCTGGTTTTAACCACATTCTAGTAATGGCTTTCTTGCTAGCAGCTCCCAAGATTCTAAATCAATATTATATATATTATAATATATATAATATATATATATATATATATATATTGTGTTTTCAAAACATTCAGCTTATATCCAGAGAAGGATCCATATTGATCCAGAAGTGGAAATAACTGTACTAGAGATATTTCCGGGTTGGATAAATACACCAATACATAATCAGCAAATAGGGAGATCTTTTGTTCACCCCCATTCATTGCTATTACCTTGATATTGTTACTCTGAATAATCCACCGGCTGAGAGGTTCGATAAAGATCACAAATAAGAGAGGGCTAATTAGGGAGCCCTGTCTTGTTTCCCTTTCTAATGGAAAGACATTTGGGTGCCATTTTACAATAAGACTACCCTTATAAAGGATTCATAAAGGGTTTATAATTAGGTTATTAATTAGGTTGTTAACACTTTATTAATTATTAAGAACCATTTATAAACCAGTTCTAACATAGTTTTCATACATCAACACAGGCTCACTATTTGGCAAGATGACTAAGCCTTATATTGGCACTAGCTTACTTCGTCTTCATCATCAGCCAACATCTATAGGGGCGTTCACACCAAGTTCTTTTCCCACAATAGTTCATGAGAACTCTTTTAGTTCTGATGAACTAAAGCAGATCGCGTTCACACCGCAATGAGTTCCTGGGGGTGGATTAGGCAAATGAAGCTGCTGACGTCACTTCTTCTTCTGCTTTGGGTTTACTGGCAGGCCGCAAACCACTTCACGGCGTATACTGCCACCCGGAGTCCCCGGCCGGAAGTCCCCGGAGTTGGGGACTGGCTTCAGTAGAAGCTGCTGGGAGTTCCAGAAAAATCGCCAGAACGCCGACACCTCCTCATCTCCACCGCTCCCATGTTTTCTTTTGTGTTGCCATAAGTTAGTCTCTCTGCGTTTGTGCGCTGGGCTAATGCTAATGCTAATAATGCTAATGCGAGGATAATAAAATGGCGGCTTCACAAAACCTTTTGGGAGTTTTACGGGGCGTGGTTTGCATTCCGCCCAGCCAATCAGACATAGGAACCTTTTTCTCCCACGAAAGTCCCTGCTCTCTAGCAGGGACTGAAAAGGGGGTAAAAATGGTTCTGATGAACTAATTTAGTTCAGGCTCTTTTTGGTGTGAACGCAAATATATCTGAGTTCTGATGAACTATTCTGGGAAAAGTACTCCGGTGTGAACGCGTCACTTGGTATCTGTTGTTCACTGAGTTGATTCTCCCCCCATCCATCTTGATGTTTCTTGGCATCTCTTTATGACCATTTATGAATGAGTTACTAACATTTATAACTGCCAAAAGGGAGTCTTGTAAAGTGTTAAACAAATCACCATTTATTAATGAGTTACTACCATTTATAATTTGTTTTAGTTATATTAAGCCTTAAAGTTATGCATAAATTAGGGCGTGGTCACATTGAGTGACAGGTAATTCCAGTGACTGCTGTTGTTAGCTTCCTGTCGATCTGCTAGCAGCTCCGTGATGCTACAGGGACTCAGCCTGCTCAACTCATCCGGGGAACATAACTCAAACTCGGCCGTGTTTGTTGTGCTGGTGCCTTGTGGACTATTCTTCATGCTTATATCGGACTATTGGGACTCGCTCTGCGGTTAAAACAGACGGTGCATGAATGTGGTTTTGAGGTAAGTGAAATTCAAGTACTTTATTTATGTGTTGCTTATGTTTTGAGTCAGCTAACGTTAATGAATGCTAAGGCTTGGGTTAGCATGTAAGCAAGTGGTAGCTACATCTGTGCTAACGATGCTAATCGTAGCCTCCAAGTTAAAACGTAATAGAGAAGTGTTAAGCATTAAGTGGGATAATACTGTAGAATAAACGGCTTCTGTTTGAGGTTGGTAAAATAAGGTCATCCTTGTAAGTTAGAGAGATATTTTGTTAGGTAGGTAACTTTATGCATTGATAAGGTTCATTTAAATTCACTATGATCGATTATGTAGACAAGCTAACGTCAAAGTAGTGTTGAAGAGCGGCCTAGTGTATGTGAAATCAACCTCACAATAAGATGTGTATATTACAAATAATAATGTCATATTTCAAGATGATTACTTAGATATTATAATATGGTTGGTTGAGCTGGAGTTCATTATTGAGCTTACACGTTAACATCAGTCATATCTGAAGAACGAACCCAAACCTTGTTCTTTTTATTAATTGTATTACCAAATTGGTATCAAATAAATAGTAAGCATTGGTAATACCAATGCTGATAAAGTAAAATATTTTATTTGAGTATTTGTGTTTGGGAGAAGGTACTGTACCCAGTTCCTATGTTCGGCAGTTATAGACTGGGCTT